CGCGAACCATGAACCGCCTCGTCGGGCGATGGTCGGTGCAACGGCAACGGTTTCGACGTTGGCAACGGTCGAGGGACAACCAAAGAGACCGACATCGGCGGGGAAGGGAGGCTTGAGTCTGGGCTTGCCTTGTTTACCCTCGATGGATTCGATTAATGCGGTTTCTTCACCACAGATGTAAGCTCCAGCGCCTCGATGCAAGTAGACGTCGAAATCGTAACCTGATCCACAGGCGTTTTTGCCAATAAGACCAGCAGCGTAAGCTTCGTTGATGGCTTGCTGGACGTGCGAGGCTTCCTGGTAAAATTCTCCTCGAATGTAGATGTAAGCTAGACAAGGGCACCAAACCAATCAGTCGACCTGATAAGGAAACAGGGGTACTAAAGACGTAGAGGTCAATCGCTTACCAGCAGTGGCGTTCATCGACCGACCGGCAACTAGACAGCCCTCAACCAGCTTATGCGGGTCGCCTCGCATGATTTCCCGATCTTTACATGTTCCCGGTTCACCTTCGTCGGCGTTGACGACCAAGTACCGCGGTCGCTTATCCTTTTCCCATCCGGGCTTGTTCATGAATGACCACTTGAGACCTGAAGGGAAACCGGCACCTCCACGACCTCGAAGACCAGAGTCCTTCACTTGCTGGATGATCCAAGAGTCACCCTTGAGAAGGATCTCCTTGGTTTTGTGCCAGTCACCTCGTGCCTAGCAACCAAATGAGAGGGTAAGAAAAGATTCCAACCCTTCACGCGACGCGTTGGGTCAACGAAGACTCACCTGAGCACCCTTCAACCCATGATCGCCCCTGCAGAACAAGTTGGTAAAAATTCGGTCCTGGTCCTTCAATCCGCCGTAATGCCTGACAGGAGGGTCCGCAACGGTAGCCAGGGACCTCCGGGTAGCCGAAGTGGCAGCGGCAGCGGTGGTGTTGGCTCCAGAAGCTGTGTAAAGAAGCACGGGTGAGTGAAGCAATCGAGGATATTGCATTCCCTCTGAGACTCACAAGCCAAGACCTTGGAGGTGGCGTGCTTCAACATGTCGACGATGTGGATAGGTATGTAAAGCCAGTTGGGTGCAGGCCGTGCTCCGACTGAACTTGTATGCTGCTGTCGTTGGCGTGATGGGCTGCGTAATTGCGTTGTTTGCCATCTTGAGTGTCGATGCCCAGCGTCCGAGCGATGTTTCTCCCGCCAGATCGCTCCGGTGTGCGCTAGACACGGCCAATCAGCCATGAGCCTTTTCATGATGCGCTTCTAGGAGAAGCGCGGGGGGTCGGGCGTTTGGGGGCCGCGAGAATTCTTAGCGACGTGCTGCAGCCATATCAGCCGTCTGCAACTCCCTCGCCGTCGCCACCACCACAGACGGCAATCCTCAGGTATCGTCATGTCAGCCCCCACGCCAGGTCGCGGAACCCCCTCCTCGCGCGGCAATCGCGGAGGAAAAGCTTCTTCCTACGCACGCACAAAAGCCAACAACCTGAAATACGGAACACCTCTCCCGATTGTCCTACCTGCGTCTCCGTTACATCCAGCGTATGTCGAGCCACCCGTGCCCGAGTTCGTGTTGGCTAGGAGAAGGGCTCAGGCCAAGGAGCGTGGGGAGCCGCTGCAAGAGGAGAAGAGTGCTGTAATCCCGTCACCAATAGCGTTCATGGTTCAGCTTCTTTCGAAACTGTCTGCCCCGACGACGACGAAAGAGCCTGTCGTGCCCGTATGCAGAGGGACCTACGACCCTCTTACGCGCTCAGTATTCGTCACAACGACCGACGACCGAAACATCCTATTCGATCGCGGTTTCTTTGGAAAGGGCAACCTGTCGCGTTCCGAAGCCAGCTGGAAGACCCGCCGCGTCAAACTATTACAGGAAATTGCTGGACTGGCTGCCGCGGGTGGGAAGAGGGATGGTAAAAAGACTGCAGAAGAGGTGACGGCTGAGCGGAGAAGAGAGAGAAAACAGTTCAAGATTGATAGAGCTCAGGCGATTTTGAACGCCAGTTTAGCGGCGGAAGCCATTCTGCGATCATCGATACAGCAACAGGGGGATGGAGCAACAGAAGCGTTCGATGAATCAGCTTCCTTGCATCGAGTCGAGTCGACCCGGAGCAACAACACCTCGGCTGACGTTGCACAAGGGGTCAACGGTACACAACCCGATATATTGGTTCCGGGCGTTCAGGACTATGCACACGTCTTGCCCGAAGGTGTGACCAGGCTCACACCCCAGACGTTCCTCCAGCGGCCTACACGGCCCGATTCCAAGCCAAAGGGCAGGAAACCGCAATCGCACCCACCAACACCACCACCACCACCAACTGTGGCTACGAGCGATGTACCCCAGAACCCAACGACTTTACCGGAATCACAGGCTGTTACAGCTATTTCCAGAGAAGAAGAACAAAGCGCTTCCCCTATGGTACCCAGCGGGGAAGATTTGGTTGATCCCGAGTCAGTGGAAGATCTGGAGCATCTACAATTGAATCTTGAAGAAGCGTTTTTCCTGAGTTGGGCGCTTGGGTGCCTGGAGGTTGTGGATCCAAAGACGGCAGGTCTTTCCCCTTGTATGACTTCTCTCTACTGCACGTCTAACATTTCTTCTATTATTTTCGGTCCATCTAGAGCCGAGTAATGCTCCCTTACGATTTATTCCAACATATTCTATCCCTTCCTCAGGCATTCAAACCACCTCCGCCTTCCTCCACCTACATGGCATCTCTCCACTTGCGACGCCCCGATAATCCTTTCTTGATCTCGTATATCGCATATCATCATTACCGGTCACTAGGATGGGTTGTCAAGACAGGTATCAAGTTCTGCGTGGACTGGCTGTTGTACAAGAAAGGAATGGTGTTTAGTCATGCCGAGTGAGTCTACCAACTCCTTCTTTGTCTCTGTCCGTAGGTCGACCGAATATTAAGCGGGATGAAATTTTCACAGATTCGCGCTACTCGTCATTCCTCATCATCAGGATTCGCAAGACGCCAAGTCGTGCCCCTTTGCTTTAAACAATGAACAGCCCATGTCGTGGCAATGGCTGAATACGGTTAACCGAGTCAACACACAAGTAAAAAAGGTGAGCGCGTCTAGCTTATCATGCTGAATAGTGGTAGCACAGCTGACCCATCGCTTCCCGCAAGACCCTCATCTTGTGTTATGTAACTATACCTCCTGTCGCAAGCGTCACCGAGGAGGACTGGCTGCGGCCCGAGAGACTATTGAGTCGATATAGCGTTAGAGAGGTCACAATTCGACGATTTGTGCCTGCACGTATGCGGGACTAGCTGTGTGACCCGTGCGCAAACCACGGGCGATTGTGGACGTTTCATGCGTCCGGTATCACTTTGAGGGCATGTAAAGGGGTAGGGATATAGATTGTTGTAATGTCTGTTTGACACACTCCGGATGTATCCTATATTTAAAACGTTCCGTCTGTGGGATACTCGGGCCTGTACTTGAGCCTACAGTGTCATCAGTTCATCGCATCTCTGTCATGTATCATATGCCGAGCAACTATCTCACCGACACCACCATGTTCCATCATCAGCTGTTCTATCACGCATTCTACACTGAGGAATGGAAAGCGACGAGAAGGATCAAAAGATCTAGAGAGGACTGGGAGGCTGTACGCTGGACAGCATGGAGAGGAGGAGCGACGATGCCGTTGGAGGATGTACCTACCGAGTTGGGATTCCCCGCTCGTGTTCATCAGCCATTCTTTGGAGTTGTCTTGACTCAACCTTGCAACACTAATACCAGACTAGTAGTCGTCGTTACTGCAGCACGAGTTGTTGCACTACTATTGTCGAATATTTCTCCGGCACCCCAGCACCCAGCCGAGTTCAGCCACAGGAATCATCGGACAGATCACATTTTGGCCCGGCCCTATCACGACGCAAGTCGACAGTTGCCCGGTACTGGTGATGTAATTACGAAGACATAAGCCAGCCCACATCCATCTTTAGGGAGTGGGATCGAGTTTGTTTGCCACGACTGGATGATGAATCTATACTCAAAGGAATCCTAGACCTCCTTGTTGTTGCGGAACAGTCCTAACCCGCACGGTACTTGGTACGTTGGTACCTGATACCAAGAGTTCTCGTCGTTTCTTCCTTCTGAAGGGAAGAAAGCCTATACAGAATGGCTTCTTGTCTCTTCATACATCACGCTGTTCCAGCGTGATTGCTGTTGCTTCCCTTGTCCGTCTCACGGGCTCAAGCACCCAGTAGGCAGTTCGAAAGCAAGCGTAAGTAGGGAATGATAAATGAACTGTTGGTCGCATGTGAAAACAGGCATCGGCGCAGTTCTGTGGAATGAGTGGCTGAGAGCTGTTTTTGTTGTTGCTATCCAGTTCCCTCTCGGTGCATAGAGGGTAGTGGGAGTGACCTTCTACCCGGCGTGGTCTAACGTTGCAAAGTATCATGGCGACAAGTCTCGATTTTTGGGCGGAACAGGCTGCAAATGACCCCTGTGGAAAAGTTACAATGTTCCATCTCAAACGTTCAATCAGGCTGCTGCTTTTTCACAGAACGTCTCTAGGAGCCTTATTTAATGGTCGTCTGCCTTGACCTTGTCAGCTGTGCTAGTGATTAGGTCTGCTTGAGACTCGGTCGCGCGAAACTTATACGTCCTGGCGGTGGTGTACGGATAGGAAATTAGACAGCTTACCTTCCCAACACAACCGAAGAGGTGAGAGTGCAGGTGCTGCTAAATGTAATGTTTCCGGTGAACAGCGCCTTTTGCACTTCCTGGATCCGACCGACGCGGCCGAAACTTGACTTCTGGGAGCATTGCGTGCGTTAGAGTGCTAAACGAGAGATGCCGCTGGTCGAACGAGGGCATGAAGTGGCGGTAAACTTGCGCGCATGCTTGGCTCCACAGGAATGAGACTCACGAACTCTCACGCAAAGGCCAGCAAGGCAGAAAAAAACGGAATAAGGAACTGGAAGTGCTGGCACAGGAGCAAAACTACTCACCGCCGCCCGAAAAATATGCAAAAAAAGATCGCTTCCCATGTTGGGGTCGAACCAACGACCTTCGAGTGTCGATCCTTGATTGGAAAGTAACAGCTCGACGCAACTACCACTGTGCTAATGAGAAGATTGCTTGAGCGACTTCCTCTATTTGATACATAATGGGAGATCGTTTGCCAGTCCTCGAAATCCAACGAAACCCAACGGAAGAAGTATATGCATCCAAGGAAGAATAATCGCGATCTAACGAAAGAGGCTACAACTAATTGTTACCGTCGTCAATCTACAGTAAACACCAAGTAGCCTTCGTACTTTGCTCCTCAGGAGTTGGGACCAGAAGATAGCTCTATCACATGAAACGCAAAATAATCAGTCAAGGATCTCCGGAATTATTCGGTCGCCCTGACGCTAGTTGACGACGCAATAAGCCACTAAATCAACACACCAGCAGCAAATCGACATGCCGACATGCAACCGCTCGAATCGTGGTAATAGCTCAAGTGCAGGGGGTCTGTAGTCTGGAATTACTCTACACTTTCCGCACTCGAAACACTTCGCTGTGCTGCCTTGGAGACAACGAACTAGACCAGGATCCACCACTAGAATGAATCAGTACCGAGAGGCAAAAGAATGCCCCTGTATCTACTGAGACCAGAAACGCGCTGCGTATTTGATAATATGAAACATTCCCATTGTCAGACGACGATTCTGTATTCCATTTATGTTCAAACATGCGATACGCTATGCTCCGTTATACACCATGTCCGGTTCTACTCGTTACTCCTAGAACCGTACCATAATTGCCCTACTGATATTCTTATTTTTTCTCCGCTGTCGGGTCGTTCTCGTCAAACTCTATACCAAGAGCAAGCTGGACAACGTAGCTTCCGTAGCAATAACCTGTGAAATATCAATGACCGACACATGATCAGTCGACAGCGATTAAAAACTTTGCTGATATACTTACGCCTAAAGCTTGTTCTACTTCCAATCTCTTCCGGGCTTCCCTCAACCAGTCACCAGCCAACTTTCCTGCCCAACCCTTTAGCTGATTCACTTGTCGTGCCGCGCCATCCAAATCCTTTTCGCTCAGGAGATATTCCGCACGTGCCAGAACAGCGCTGACGTCGTCACCTTCCACCCATCCTGCCTTGCGCCTGAACAACAACTTGCTCAATGCTGCAGATGCAATGTGGGAAAGGACGCCGGCTTCGTGTTCGGCAGGGACAAGGGAAACCGATTGGATCTTGGGGGCCAAGGTCGTCGTGAACCATGCTGCAAGAGAGGGGAAAGATTTGATGCCTTGTTGAGCAGCACCAGAGGACTCGATGGAGTCGATCATCGATTCGATGATGCTGCGTGCAGCCGGATCGGCACTGGCACCGGCTTGAGCGGCAGCAGCAGTCTTCAAGACACGCAATTCATCGTCGAATGCAACGCCTCCTCGGTCGGCCTTGGCTTGAACAGCTCGAAGCGCAGACCATAATGTGTGAAGGGAAACATTGGCGTCCAATTGGGAAGAGTTGTCGAGTGTGATCTTTTCCAGCTGCTTGAACGACGTTGTCAAGTTGTCGAGTTTGGCCAACCGACCGCCTCGTTCTGTTTCAACCTGCGCCTTGATGGACCGCAACCATCGTCTTTGCAACTCAATTCCTTGAGCAATGACCTCTTCGCGCAGCCTGAAGACAAATTGTGTCAATATTTCGATAGATCGACAATGCAGACAACTTACCTCTGTTCAATGCCAACTCGCTGACCCTCAAGCTCCCGGTCTAAAACCTTTCGCCATCCTTCAACAAGCTTTTCCCGCTCTTCCTTCCAGCCCTCCAATAATTCACCTTCCTTGTTGGTCCACTCGGCCTCTTTCTGGTTCAACTGAGCTTCGAACTCCTGCCTCTTGCTTTCAGCGGTTTGTTCGAGCTTGGCCTTTTCCTCATCTTTCAGGGCTTGTAGTCGGGTTGAAAGAGAAGACAAGTCATCCTGCGCTCGAGTCAGGATGGCGACGGGTGACGCGGAATCAGTAGTCGACGTTGATCCAGCTGCTGACGAGGTGGCAGAGAGGGATTCAGCCAAACTGTCGATCGTAGAAGCAAGTTGGCTGATAATCGGTTCGTCATTGGCGGAAGTAAACTCGTGGACCTTGGGTGCCAAAAGAGGCAGAACAGGTTTAGGTTCCGACAAACCGGCCTGTAACGGGTCTGCTGCGAGTTCCTTCTTCTCAGAATCGATAGTGGGCTCAGCCGGCTTCGGGACATAGTATCCGGGAGGAGGTTCGAATCCAATTGGCAATGCAGGTCCAGAATACGCCTTCTTCACTGATTTGCCGGAATCATCAGCCACGACGTCTCGCTTGGGCTGTGTGTCGACCATCTGGGCCTGAACGTTGGCGGGGACAGGTGCCTGGCTGGCGGCCTTGAGGTCTTGAGCTGCATGTTCAGCCTTGCTTTCAGCATTGTGCAAGGCAGCTTGAGCCTTGTCTTCCACCTGGTGCAGAGTAGTTTGAGCCTTGTCCTCTGCCCGGTGCAAGGCGTTCTCAGCCTTAGTTTGAGCCCTGCCAAGTGCATGCTCGGCTCTGTCGACCAGTTCAGACACTCCGTCCGAGAAGTGAACCGTATGGACTTCGGAAGCAGCTTGGCTTGCTTTCTCCTTGATGGTATGCGCTGCACCTGCGGCGACAGCCTTGAGATGCTCAACAGTTCGTCGAGCCTCGTTCTTGGCCTTGTCGGCTGTGCTCTCGGCAGTCTGTTCCAAGGATGCAGCCTCTTTTTTGGTCTCCGTTTTCAAGTCCGATACGGCAGCAGCGGCAGTATGTTTGACCTCGTCAAGCTTCTTGGAAGCTTGAGCGGCCAAGGTATCGGCCTTCTGAGCGATGTTTATTCGAAGATCTTTCGCCTTGTCCTGGGCTGCAGCGATTATGTCCTTGGTGGAGTCGACAACAGCCGTTGCCGGACGTCGTTCGGTACCTGCACCCGCTCCACCGGTCAAAGTGGACAATCCAAACTGATCCCAGTCATTATCATCTGCGTATTCGATCAACTGTTCGGCCAGAGGGAAAGTCGAGGTGAAGAAGTCCCTGTATTTGTCAGACTGCAGGGAAAGGTAGGCCGAAGTGGGGTAGAAGACCAGAGTGCCGAGAGTCAAGTACAGGAAGAGCTTTCGGAAAAACCTGCTTGGCGGTTTCGGAGCCTTGGGAGGTGGTGGCGGAGGAGGAGGAGGAGCGCCGCCGGGTTTGGTCACAACTACGGGAACAGGTTTTACGGTTGCGTCTACGGGCAAGATGACATCGGGCTTGGCAGGGAGTGCTGCGTTCTTAGGAACTACGACGGCTGCAACGGGTCTGGCATTGACCGCAGTTGGCGGGATCGGAGGAATACCAGGGGCAATTGGACCTCGTGTAGCAGGTGAACTACTGTCAACTGCGTACCGCTATAGATTCGAACGGAAATCATCAGAATATGTAAACCGAGTGTCTTCCTGGGCATCAAACTTACCCGTATAGAAAGCCTTGCCTGAGCGCTCAGGCGAGTGCTGTTGACCAACCTAGCTTGTCGAAACATGGCTGAGAATATGATACCCCTCGATGCAAGATATCTATCTGGGCTGTTATGTTGGAATGCCTTGATACGTTCATCCTCCTAGTTCTCCTCCAATCGCTTTTCCGCTAAGCTCAGCTCGCAATCGGCGCGCGAGGACGGCCAGAGTCGGGCAACCTTGTCCAGCTGTAATGACGTAGTAGCTTGATATATAGTTGTTGAGCGGGTCTTTCAAAGATGCACTACAGGTATACACAGGATGACCTCTTTCTTTGGCGCTTCTGTTGCAACAATGTCTAACAACCGCCTGAGCAATACCCTCCCCCTCCAAGTCCACACCCCCAACAACTGACAGCCCCCTTTCCAGCACCTGTCATTACAAGTCCGACGATGCTGATGATTCCTTCGCCCAAGACAAATCCACTGGCGCATACGATAACTAGTAGAGGGGTTTCACCATGCTTCCGAGTCCGGTAAGCAATGTAACCACCTATGAGACGCGCCAACGAAAAAGACGGCGTGTTCAGGAAACCGATGGCGAACGCGATGCCAGAAGGAATGTAGTTGATCCACTTGGGTGGTCTTGGGGTGATCAGAGGTGTTAGGTACTTGATGGAAGACAGCAAGGCAAAAATGGAGCCAAACGCTGTCATGAATACTGAGGTATAAGGTGGTAGATGACCGGTGTTGAGTAGTCGAGCAAGGTTCAGCCTTTGACATCGGGAGTCAGTACATAAGATGAATTGTAGAGATATTTCGTAGCTGGGACTTACCAGATAGCAGCCGTTGGGACTCGAAACTCCGGCCCAGGGATCTGTAGCAAGTATGTCAGCATAACGTCGAGCCTGTCATTTCGAATCAAGAACTCACCTCGTAGACGCTAGTATAAAGCTTATAGGCGCCGACAGATACGAAGACACTAGCGAGACTTCCAATCATCTGCCCGTAGAACTGTGAGCGAGGTGACGCTTTGAGCAATGCACCAGTCTTTAGATCTTGCATCAGATCCCCAGCTCTGCATGTAAATTGACGAGCGTAAGTATGCCGAGATCGGGGTACGCGCTCGAAGGTGTAGACCTCACTGTTGTGCTCCAGCCTGATCATGATGAACAGAGCTCAATGTTCAATAAACGGTTTCGCTAGTATGATAAAGGAAAACATAATTACCTCGGCAACGCCGCCAGCAATAATGTTGGCAACCACATTCCCTGGCTGCAATAGAGCAAACACCAGTTGACTAATCTTCCCGATCCCGGACTTTGGAATGGACAGTATTGTCAGTTCGATCTCGCAAAGGGAGTGTCATTGGATCGTAAATGCTCACCACCGGATTCAAGTCTGTTTGTCCCAGGGCTCTCACTCCCAGTACACTGAGAATACTAGCAAGTACCAACCCTAAAGCAGTCGCCCAAGGCTTAATGCCTTCATGCCCAAATATCGCCCATACTAGCACAATGCCTAGGGCCGAACTGAGCGCAAGGCCAATTCCGACCCAGGACATAGGAACCAACCGGTCCGGTGTTTCGGTTTCGACGTCGTTGGACTCTGGACGTTGGTGATGACGAAATTGCTCGAATTGTACTAGGATCCTGGA